TCCCTCGATTCACATTTATAGAGCGTCTGTTTCAGGCACCAGAGTAGGTATTTTGAAAGGGCCAGAAGTTAATTATTCAACACGTAGGTGCTGATTTTGGGGCGCTCACAGTTCGGATGAAATAGAGATACCTCTAATACTACCTTGCCTAGGTAAATGCGATTATAGAGGCGCAAAAGAAAGGAGTGAAATGCGAATGTGGGTGAGAGGTTGATTTTTGACTTAGAGGGTTTGGCAAGACATTTTGGAGGTGACGTTTGAACCAGGTAGGATTTGGTCAAATGAAGAAGTTAGATTCGGTATAGAATGAGCAAGGCACAGAAATTGAAAATAGGGGGCCTTGTTTAGGGAGGGTGTACAAAATGGCATGATAAGAACAGATAAGAAAATGACAGATGATATGGGGGCCTCCTGTGAGGACCACGACACCCACCCAGCTTGTGTACTCTGGTTTGAACAGGGTCACTGTGTCGGAATCAACTCAATGGCAATGGGTTTTCTTTTTGATTTAACCACTTATGAATAGAATGGTTTCTTAATCTGTCAGCTGTACTAATGTTATTTTCTACATCTAAGCCCCAAATCTTGGAAATGTCTCTGATCCTTCCTTCTTTCACACCCCACATTCAGTCTGTCGGTAAATTGTAATGGGCTCTATCTTCAAAACATAGCCAGAATCTGACCGCTTCCAATCACCTCCACCGTTTACCCCAGGGCTGGCAGCCTTTTTGTATATCTCCAGGGGCACCTTTTCGCATTTCACAGGTCTTGTGCAGTGCACAACTTGCATGGCTGTACATTACGGTCCTGGATTACTGCAGTCTCTTCTAACTCGTCCCTTGCATCTGCCCTTGCCCATCCTCTTCAGTCTATTCTTAAGCCAGGGAGAGTTAACTTTCTAAAACGTAAATCTGATCATAGCATCCTCTGCCCAATACTCTCTTATTCATTCAAATATTATATTCCTCCTGTTTGCAGAGCACTGTTCTAGACATTGGGGATACAGTGGTGAACAAAAAGGACAAAAACCCCTGCTCCCAAGGAGCATACATGCTAGTGGGACTGAGAAATAACAAGGTAAATAAGTATAATATGTAGAAGTTATAATGTGGTTAAGTGCCAAGGAGGGAAAAAAAAGCAGGGAAGGGGGACAGAAAGTGTCAGGGTGGGGAGGGGATTGAAATATTTGCTGGGGTGGCCAGGGGTGTTCTACTGAGGTGGTGACATTTGAGTAAAGAGCTAAAAGAAGTGAGAGAATGAGTTTGTGGATAGCCAGGTCCATCTTGGTTTGGGTGTCTCTCCCTGGTCCAGTCCTCATGGCCAGGGGTTCAGTCTCACAGTCCAACTGCTGCTACAGAGGCCACATTCTGTGGGTGAGGGGCAGGTCTGAAGGGAGGGGGATCAGGTGAACAGGGCAGACACCCAAAGGTGGCCACTGCAGAGAGTTTGATGTTACCTGAGGAGAACTGGAATATGCCAGGTCTAACCTAGTGACCAGCGTGTCTGCATTAGCTTTGCCTTTGCTGGATTGAGCTATAAAGTTAAATTCTTGGCTTTTATTGAAGGTCTCTGTGAAACATAGCTATATGGGAGCCATCTGCATTTATGATAAAATGGTGCCATTTTATGTTGAATCATGACCTTCCTATATAATTTTTTATTTCTATTTATTTTTTCATTTTTTTAAAATTGTACTTTAGATGAAGGTTTACAGAATAAACCAGCTTCTCACTAAACAATTAGTACACATATTGTTCCATGACATTGGCTACCAACCCCACAACATGTCAACACCCCCCTTCTCGACCTTGGGTTCCCAATTACCAGCTTTCCTGTCCCCTCCTGCCTTCTAGTCCTTGCCCCTGGGCTGGTGTGCCTCTTTAGTCTTGTTTTGTTTTATGGGCCTGTCTAATCTTTGGCTGAAGGATGAACCTCAGGAATGACTTCAGTACTGAGCTAAAAGATGCCTGAGAGCCGTACACTCGGGGTTTTTCATCTCTGTCAGGCCAGTAAGTCTGGTCTTTTTTTGTGAGTTAGAATTTTGTTCTACATTTTTCTCTAGCTCTGTCCAAGACCGTCTATTATGATCCCTGTCAGAGCGGTCAGTGGTGGTAGCCCGGTACCATCTAGTTGTGCTGGACTCAGTCTGGTGGAGGACATGGTAGTTGTGGTCCATTAGTCCTTCGGACTAATCTTCCCCTTGTTGTCTTTGGTTTTCTTCATTCTCCCTTGCTCCTGATGGGGTGAGACCAGTGGAGTATCTTAGATGGCTGCTCACAAGCTTTTAAGACTCCAGACGCTACTCACTGAAGTAGAAAGTAGAACGTTTTCGTTATAAACTATGTTATGCAAATTGAGCTGGATGTTCCCGAGACCATGGTCCCCACAGCCCTCAGCCCAGTATTTCAGTCCCTCAGGGAGTTTGGTTGTGTCTGTGGAGCTTCTACGACCTTGCCTTGGACAAGTTGTGCTGGCTTCCCCGTATTGTGTACTGTCTTACCCTTCACCAAAGTTGCCAGTTATCTATTGTCTATTTAGTATTTTCCAATCCGCACCCCTCCCCTCCCTCGTAACCATCAAAGATTGTTTCTTTTTGTGTATAAACCTTTTCGTGAGTTTTTATAGTAGTGGTCTCATACAGTATTTGTCCCTTTGTGATTGACTTATTTCATTCAGCATAATGCCCTCCAGATTCATCCATGTTATGAGATGCTTGCAGATTCATCATTGTTCTTTATTGTTGTGTAGTACTCCATTGTGTTATGTACCACAGTTTGTTTATCCATTCATCTGTTGATGGACACCTAGGTTGTTTCCATCTTTTTGCTATTGTGAACAGTGCTGTAATGAACATGGATGTGCATATGTCTATTCATGTTATGGCTCTTATTTCTCTAGGATATATTCCTAGGAGTGGGATTGCTGGATCATATGGTATTTCTATTTCTAGCTTTCTAAGGAAGCGCCATATAGTTTTCCAAAATGGTTGTACCATTTTGCATTCCCACCAGCAGTACATAAGTGTTCCTATCTCCCCGCAGCCTCTCCAACATTTGCTATTTTCTGTTTTTCTGATTCATGCCAGTAATGCTGGGGTGAGATGGTATCCCATTGTGATTTTGATTTCCATTTCTCTAATGGCTAGTGATCTCGAGCATTTCCTTATGGGTCAGCTGCTCAGATGTCTTCTTTGGTGAAGTGTCCGTTCATTTCCTTTGCCCATTTTTTAATTGGATTATTTGTCTTTTTGTTGGATTTTCCTGTAGATTTTAGAGATTAGACCTTTGTTGGATTTGTAATAGCCAAATTTTTTTTCCCAGTCTGTAGGTTCTCTTTTTACTCTTTTGGTGAAGTCTTTTGATGAGCATAAGTGTTTAATTTTTAGAAGATCCCAGGTATATACCTTATCTTCTGGAGTTTGTATGTTGTTAGTTATGGTTTGTATCCTGTTAATGCCGTGTATTAGGGCCTCTAGCTTTGATCCTATTTTTTTTTTCTATGATCTTTATAGTTTTTGGTTTTATATTTTGGTCTTTGATCCATTTTGAATTAGTTTTTATGTATGGTGTGAGGTATGGGTCCTGTTTTATTTTTTTGCAAATGAACATCCAGTTTTGCCAGTACCGTTTGTTAAAACGACTATCTTTTCCCCATTTGATGGACTTTGGGCCCTTGTCGAAGGTGAGATGACCGTAGGTGGATGGATTTATATCTGGGTTCTCACTTCTGTTCCATTGGTCAGTGTGTCTGTACCAGGCTGTTTTGACTACCGTAGCTGTATAATAGGTTCTGAGGTCAGGTAGTGTGAGTCCTACATTTTTCTTCTTCAATAGTGCTTTACTTATCTGGAGCCTCTTCCCTTTCCATATAAAGTTAATTATTAGTTTTTCCTTCCCTTTATAGAATGCTGTTGGTATTTGGATTGAGATTGCATTGTATTTGTAGATTGCTTTGGGTAGAATTGACGTTTTCACAATTTTAAGTCTACCTGTCCATGAGCATGGTATGTTTTTCCATTTATGTAGATCTCTGTTTTGGTTTCTTGCAGTAGTGTTTTGTAGTTTTCTTTGTATAGGTCTTGTACATCCCTGGTTAGATTTATTCCTAAGTATTGTATTTTTTTAGGGGCCTATATAATGTTTTTAGACTTGTGTTCCAGGAATTAGCCCCCCTAAGGAATAGTAGACATCTTTTTTGCATGAGGGATTTAAAACTTGTCAGATTTCCCTCTTGTCATAGTTTCAAGGAAGCTCGCAGTAACTATAGTTAGCATGCACAGCTGAGCTGGGCTGGAACTTTTAAGAAAGACTATACCAAATGATCAGAAGCCCTGGTGGCGCAGTAGTTAAGAGTTCAGCTGCTAACCAAAAGGCTGGCAGTTCAAATCCACCAGCCACTCCTTGGAAACCTATGGGGCACTTCAACTCTGTCCTGTAGGGTCGCTATGAGTCAGAATAGACTAGATGGCAATGGGTATACAAAATGATCAGAAGGGAAATAGTCAAAGGGTAAGGTGCATCTACCTGGTTAGGAATCTCAAACTCAAGTGCCCATAGTGTCCAGAGAGTTAACAAACATACCGTGAGTAGGTTTAAGATTGTTGTTGGTAGTAGCCGTCGATTCGATTCTGACTCATGGCGACCCCATGTGTGTGGGGTAGAATTGCTCCATAGGGTTTTCAAGACTGTGACCTTTTGGAAGCAGATCGCTAGGCCTGTCTTCTGACGCACTTCTGGAACAAAAGGTTCCAACCACTAATCTTTCGGCTAGTAGTCAAGTGCTTAACCATTTGCACCACCCAGGGAACCAGAGGTTTAAGATAGTAGGTGCAGACTGTATTGAGTTCAAGCATAACTCAGCTGCTTGGTTACATTGCCTTTTATAACGGGAGGCTGGCTAAACAAAACAGCCAAGTAAAATGCTTTGGAGGCAGGCTGGCCATTGTCAGACCTTGGAATCTGGCACAGAAGCTCTCTGGTCTTAAGCCCTTCAGTGTAGGGTCCCTACGTAGAATATCTCCCTGCTTAAATCCAACTTGCCGTCTGCACTGGGACACGGCTTTTCCCTTCTGCTTGGTAGTGCCAAAGGCCCATCGAGACGTCTCGTCTGGAAACACATGAGTTCTCTTTCCTGCTAAAGGCCGCCTCCTGAGTTCCTGCTTCCTGCTGATGTCTGCCTCTTCTGAGGGTGTCAGTACTGGGTATGTCTGCCTCTTTCAGGGGAGACCTGCCCCTGACCCTCAGGAATGCAGCCAGCTAGGTCCCCTGCAAGATAGTCTTGTCAGAATGCAACACGGCAAGCCTAGCCTCAGTACGAGGATTCACACACACTTTTGTGGGGGAGGATAGGGGAGGGGATGTTTTCCATGTGTTATGTGTTGACAGTGGAAGGGAGGTATCTTTGAGAGCAGACACAGGTGTTCCTAGCATTAGAACGGGTCTTTCCCAGAGTACAGCTTGATATGTGAGCATATTAATTTTGCAACAGTGTCTTATGAATTTGGTCCCTGTGCGTCAAGCCCCCTGTGCCAACTTACCCTTTGACAGCTAATCACTTGAGTTTCAGTATGGCAAGGCCGAGGAGACTGCCTCCCACCCCCTGCCCCTACAGGTGCCTGCCTTTCTCCTGCAGCACCCACCTCCCACAACCATTCCTGCTCCTAACCAAAAGGTGAGTGAGTGGCGTTGCAGGTTTGAGAACTTAATATTTACCAAAAATAAAGTCCAGCACATGGCATTAAGATGTCAGACAACAACACTGAAAAGTCCTTGCAGTCCCTGTGCTGATAGGATTGTGTTTAGAGTAAAAATAGCAACGTGTTACAGAACTGAAAAAAAAAAAAGATATCTAAACTTCTACTGTTCCGTTTGTAAGAGACTACGTTGTAAACAGTGCATTATTACAGGGGTTGAGTTTTCATGCAGTTTAAACCATTTTGACCCCAGTACTTCTAGGTATTGCTGCCTCTCAGGAAAACAAAATTGAAAGCAGCCCTCTATTTGGAGACAATACTGAGGCATTTTCTGCCACAGGTGTTGAGCAGAAAGGATGGAAAGAATTTAATTATAGACAACTGGTTTTGAAATCACCCATGGTGGTGACCTCAGACTCTAATCCTGGAGGGAGGAAGGTGGAGATGTGTGTGCTCAGCCAGCTGGTCAGTACTGGGGCTAGGAGGAGGGCACCCAGTTGAGGAACCTGAACTGAACATAAAGGGCCATTCTGGGCTCGATTGTGCTGTTGCCTGCAAGGTGCTTGCCACTGGAAGCTGCCATTTTGACTACAGGCTGACTTTTTTTTTTATTGTGCTTTAGGTGAAAGTTTACCGAGCAAATTAGTTTCTTGATCAAAAATTTATACACAGATTGTTTTGTGACATTGGTTGCAATCCCTGCAATATGTCAGCCATCTTCCCCTTTCTACCCCAGCTTCCCATTTCCATTCGTCCAGTTTTCCTGTCCTTTCCTGCCTGTCTTTGTTTTTTGGGAAGGTGTTCCCCCTTTGGTATCGTATACTTTATTGATACAAGAAGCATGTTCCTCTCGTGTATTATTGTGTGTTTTATAGGCCTATATAATATTTGGCTGAAAGGTGAACTTTGGGAGTGGCTTCAGCTCTGAGTTAGCAGGGTGTCCAGGGGCCATAGTCTAGGGCCAGTCTCTGTCAGACCAGTAAGTCTGGTCTTTTTTGTGAATTTGAATTTTGTTCTACATTTTTCTCCCACTCTGTCCGGGATCCTCTATTGTGATCCCAGTTAGAGCGGTCGGTGTTGGTAGCCGGGCACCATCTAGTTCTTCTGAGCTCCGGCTGGTGGAGGCTGACTTTTCACCTTCAGGATCCTAAGTGCTACGACATGCCCTGGGGGACAGCTCTCTTCTCCCTGCTATGCTCCACAGAGGTTTGCTGAGTGCCTCCTGTGTCAGGCCCTGTTCTAGGCACTGGGGATTCAGTGGTGACCAGGATGGACAAGGCCCCTGGCCTCACTGAGCTTATAATCTAGTAGAGGAAGATAAAGTCAGTAGACAAGATACTTTGGGATGGAGATAGGTGCGCTGCAGAGCGATCTTACAGAGAGCAACCTCTGTGTGCTGCATGGGAGCAGCTCTAGGAAGGAGGTCGGGACAGCCTCTCTGAGGCCTGAAGGGTCAGGAGCACTCAGCCACTTGGAGAGCGGAAGGAACAAGAGCTGGACCCTGAGGCAGGAACAAGCTTGACATACATGAGATACTCGCAGGAGGCCAGTGTGTCTGAGTGCAGTGGGCAAAGGGGAACGTGGTCCCAGCTCAGGTTAGAATGGGGGCAGAGGCCAGCTCCAACAGGCGTGGAAAGGAGGCTTTTAAGCAGGAGTTACATCATCTGATCACAGCGCTCTTTCTGGTGGCAGTGTTGAGAGTGGACTCTGGGGAGTGGGAGCGGTCATGGAAGCAGGTACGAGTCAACTGTCTGGCCCACAAACCAGAGATCCCTGCTTGTTTTTCTTTCTTAAGAAATGAGCAGATTAAATGCCTCCACCTGTCTCCTGCCATGAACACTGCAGTGGTTAGTTAATGAGCTTATCACTGACCTGTTGGCCCAGGTAGTTGGTTATGGCTTAGGTTTGGGGTGGCAGCAAATGGGCAGGGTAGGTGCTGCTTCCCACACAATACCTTATTACTGGTAAGAACAGTGTGACACACGAGAGCCAGGTGTACAAAGGGGAGGCTAGAGCCCATTTCCCAGGCAAAGAACCACAGCTCCCCCAGGCCCTGGGTGCCTTGCTCAATCAACTTCCTCCTGGCCTCCCATTCTTTCCCTGTCCGATGGGCCAAGAGGAATCACTATCAACCAGAACAGGAAGGTAACTAATGCACACACTGATCAACAGGTAAATAATGCAGGACTAGTCCTGGTCATGGGAGCCCTCACGGCACAGTGGTGAAGTGCTCATCTGCTAGGCGAAAGGTCAGCAGCTCAAACCCACCAGCCACTCCACAGGAGAAAGATGTGGCCAGTCTACTTCGTAAAGATTAAACAATATACATATATTGTTATTTAGGCAAAAGTTTACACAGCAAATTAGGTTCCCCTTTAACAACCTCTATACAGATAGTTCTGTGACTTTGATTATAATTTTCACAATGTGTCAGCATTCTCATTATTTACATTCTGTTTGTTCTGTTCCCATTGATCTAGCTTCCCTTCCCCTCCTTGCCTTCTCATCTTTGCTTTTGGATAACTAACTGTTGACTGTTTGGTCTCATATAGTTAATTGTTTAAAGGAGCACATTACTCACGGGTGTTACCGTTTAATTTTATAAGCTAATCTATTATTTGGCTGAAAGTTGACCTACAGAAATAGCTTCAATTCCAAGTTCAAAGAGTATCTTAGGGCAATAGTCTTGGGGTTTCCTCTAGTCTCTATCAGGCTAGTAGGTCTGGCATTTTTTAGGAACTTGCGTTTTGTTCTGCAGTTTTCTCTCCTTCTATCCAGGACCTTCTCTTGTGTCCCTGGTCAGAACAGTCAGTAGTGGTAGCTAGGCACCATCTTGTTTGAAGAGGCTGTGGTTCATGTAGGCGGTTAGTCTCATGGGCTAGTTATTTCTTTGAGCTTTTGATTTCTTTCATTCTCTTTTCATCTATAGAGAGTAGAGACCAATAGTTGTATCTTAGGTGGCCACTTGCAAGCTTTTAAGACCCCAGACACTACTCACCAAACTCGAATGCAGAACATTATCTTTGTGAACTGTATTATGCCAATTGACTAAGTTGTCCCCCGAGTTCCGTAAAGATTTGCAGCCTTGGAAACCCTACGGGGGCAATTCTGCTCTGTCCTGTAGCGTTGCTATGAGTCAATATTGACTCATTGGCAGCGGGTTTGGGTTTTTTGGTTTAGTCATGATGCCAAGTAGTCTTAAGGTGACACTGAGTGATATGTGACCTTGCTGCAATAAGGTCAGTTTAACCTGAGGTGGAGGGGAATGTGTGTGTGTTTTAGGTTGATTAAAGAGTCTTGGTATTTTATAGCTCTGGTCCCCATGCTCTAATGAGTTAGCAGTGTGAAGGGTTGCTGATGAATTCAGCTGCTGCTCAGAGCTAGACCCCATGTTTGGTGGGGGGTGGTGAGAGAAGTGGACAGTTGAGTCCAGTGATACGTGGCACAGGGCTGGAAGAGCTGCTTGAAGAGGCAGGTGAACAAATTGGGAGTGAAGGCTGATGCCCTGGGTCACCAGGTCGATGTTTTGGTGGACGTGGGGAACACTCATGAGGGTACCGGCACTCACTGAGTCAGGATCCCCACGGGGTTAGGAGTCCCCAGGTACTTGCTGCTTGGCCTGGCTTGGAGATCACTGGTTTGGTCCAGCTTCCTCATATTACAGATGGATGATGGATTGTCCAAGGTTGCCCAGTGAGTTAGTGACGCAGTCAAAACCAGAAGCCACTTCCAGGCAGCATGGCGCTATAGAAAGAAGCACCACGCTGTCCCTCCACAGCAAAGATTTGAAAAACCAAGCCAAAAAGAGAAAACAGCAATCTTGAAACTCTAAGCATCAAATGAAGAGATAAAGAACTCAGGCAAGCACTGAATGGAATAAGAAACTGACAGAGAACAGAGAGTGAGGAGAGATATATGCAGAGGGCCCCTATCAACTAATTCAGCACGGATCTGCCATCTTGGACTCGTATCGGAGATTGGTGAACAAGGGGTACGAGAAAGCAGCTTCACGGAGCTTCCAGCAGGAGACAGAACAACCGGTAACCAGCGATATATGCTTTCTGACCCCCCTACCCTTCTTCACCCTGACTCAGCCTCCTCTGCTTCCTGCAGCCACAGTCTTTTAGCTGGGAAGCACCAGCTTCACTCCAGTGCTGCTTGGATTCTACCCGCCTGCACTGGCTGGCTCTCTGAGTGCCATTTGTTGGCTGCTAATGTTGCTTTTTTCCATTTCTTTTGATTTCTTCCATACCTCTCACCACTCCCCCTCCTTTCTCTCAAATACCTGGCTCTGTGCACCATCTTTGCTTCTTCCTGAAAGGCTGTGAAACGCCGCTCACATGTGAAACTGCTTCCTGGCCTGTGCTGCCACGCCGGTGGGATCCTGGGGCTCTTTTTTGTTTGTTTGTTTTATTTTTCTTTTCTCGAATTGGGAGCCCGTTCTAGCCAGGCAATACTGCACAGCTTGGGACCTACCACTTCGGTTTGCGGAGACGCATGCGTACAGGAATCCCTGAGGGCATTTCTTTTCTGTGGGGTTTTTTTTGTTTTGTTTTGTTTTTTCTTGTTTCTTTTTTTATTTGTTTGTTTTTGGTTTTCTTTTCTCTCTTTTTCCCTTTTTGTCTTTCTTCATTACTCAGTTTCTTGTCTTTCTGTACTTACGTTCTCTTCCTGTCTGCTGAATACCTGGTGCTGAGTGACATCTCTACCTCTTCTAGCCAGGCTGTACTTCACAGCCTGGGGACAACTTCCCCAGGCCTTGCAGCCTCACCGGTGGGATCCCTGAGAGCTTTTCTTTTCTTTCTAATTTTTATTCATTTTTTCTTTTCTTTTTTTTCTTCTTCTTCTCCTTTTTCTTTTTCTCCATTTCTCAGTCTCTCATCTCTCCACTCCAATGGCAAGCTCCCTTAGCGATCTTTTTTGTTTGTATATTTTTGGCTCCTTTTCCTCTCTCATCTCTCTCTTCTTTCCTATACCCATCTTAGCTCCATACGTCACAATCTCCTACCTCCCTCCTGCCTATCTGCACCATTCAGTGAACATCACGCCCTGAAGCAGTACAGTCGTGGCCTGTTGGAACCTGCCCTGCACTGATTCCTGGCCTGCCCTGTTGGCCGTAGTACGTGCCACAAACAAACCATCCCAGCAACTCCTTTTCAGCTAGACCTGCTCTGCTGTACAATATCTGAGCAACTGACCCTGCCAACTGGAGAAGGAGGTGAAAAGTATCATGCCCACAAATGAGCAAACAACAAATCTACAATCAATAAATGAGCAAAATAACTACCAAATGCCCTGCAGACAGCAGGCAATATCAAAACATTTACAAAAACAGGGCAGGGTGCTTCCAGTAGGCGTCCAAAATAAAACACCAGATGACTTTCCAGTAGAAGAAAAGGCACTAGAACTACCTGATAGGGAATTCAAATCTCTAATATTCAGAGCTATTCAAGATTTGAAGTAAAAAGCAGACAAAAATGAGGAAAAAATAGACAAATTCATGGAGAAGGCAGACAAATTCATGGTAAATACAGACAAAAAAAAGGAAGAATTCAGGAAAATAATGCAGGAACAAAATGCCAAAATAAATTCACAACTAGAAATCATACAAAAACAACAATTAGAAATCCAAAAGATAAACAACAAGATTTCAGAAATGGACAGTGGCATAGAAGGGCTGAGGAGCAGGTTTGAAACAGTGGAAGATAGGGTCAGCAAAATTGAAGACAGACACTTGGATACAACTCTGTTTGAGGAAAAATCAGAAAAAAGAACAAAGAAAAATGAAGAGACCCTGAGAATGATGTCGGATACAAACAAAAGCAAAAATCTGTGAGTGATTGGAGTTCCAGAACCAGGGACAAAACAGAAAACACACAGAGGATCATTGAAGAAGTGCTGACAGAAAACTTCCCCAGTATTACGAAAGATGAAAAGCTGACCATCCAAGAGGCTCAACGAACCCCATATAGGATAGACCCCAAAAGAAAAACACCAAAGCATATCAGAATCACACTCGCCAAAACCAAAGACAAAGAATCCTGAGAGCAGTTTGAGAAAAAAAATCACATACAGAGGAGAAACAATGAGACTAAGCTCAGATTATTCAGCAGAAACCATGCAGGCAAGAAGGCAACGGGATGACATACATAAAATCTTGAAAGAAAAAAATTGCCAGCCAAGAATAATATATCCTGCAAAACTCTCGTTCAAATATGATGGTGAAATTAGAACATTTCCAGAGAAACAGAAATTAAGGGAATATGTAAAAACCAAACCAAACTTACAAGAATTATTAAAGGGAGTCCTTCGATCTGAGAACAAACAATATCAGCTCAAAGGCTGAATCTAGGATGCAGGATTGTACCAGCCAGCCACCAGTCTAGGAAATGAACTCTCAAGAACTATCCAAAACCAAAAGAAATACAACAGGGAATCAGAGAAGTTATTTTGTAAATGACAACAACATCAGAACAATACAAGAGGGAATAAACAGGGTAGGTTTAGAACTTTCTGATGGAGAGGAAGGCAAGGTGATCCCAAGTAATAAAGACTGTTTCAAACTTAGGAAGGTAAGGGTAAATTTCACAGTAACCACAAAGAAGGTTAACAAACCTACTCATCAAAATAAAAAGGCAAGAAAAAGTTTACACACAAAAAGAAACAATCTTTGTTGGTTATGAGGAATGGGGGGGCGGGAATACTAAATAGACAATAGATAAGTGGTAACTTTGGTGAAGGGTAAGACAGTACACAATACTGGGAAGCCGGCACAACTTGTACAAGGAAAAGATAAATGGAAGCTCCATAGCCACATCCAAATTCCCTGAGGGACTGAATAGCTGAGGGCTGTGGGGACCATGTTCTCGGGGAACATCTAGCTCAACTGACATAACATAGTTTATAATGAAAATGTTCTACATTCTACCTTGGTGAGTAGCGTCTGGGGTCTTAAAAGCCTGGGAGCAGCCATCTAAGATACTCCACTGGTCTCACCCCTTTGGCAGCAAGGGAGAAGGAAGATAACAGGATACAAGGAAAAGATTAGTCTGAAGGGCTAATGGACCACAACTACCACCGCCTCTACCAGACTGAGTCGAGTACAAGTAGATGGTGCCCAGCTACCACTGGCTGCTCTGACTGGGATCACAATCGAGGGACCCATACAGAGCAGGAGAAAAATGTAGAACAAAATTCTAACTCACCAAAAAGACCAGACTTACTGGCCTGACAGAGACTGGAGAAACCCCGAGAGTATGGCCCCTAGACACCCTTTCAGCTCAGTAATGAAGTCACTCCCGAGGTTCACTATTCAGCCAAAGATTAGACAGCCCAATTAAACAAAACGAGACTAATGGGGCAAACAGTCCAGGGACAAGGATTAGAAGGCAGGAGGGGACAGGAAAGCTGGTAATAGGGAACCCAAGGTTGAGAAGGGACAGTGTTGACATGTCATGGGGTTGTTAACCATTGTCAAAAAACAATATGTGTACTGTTTAATGAGAAACTGTTCTGTAAACCTGCATCTAAAGTACAATAAAAAAATTAGAAAAAACAAACCAGAAGCCAGGTATCCAGGTACCCCAGCCTCCTGAATCTTCCCATCACGTCAGGCTGTAGTGGGTGGGGAGGGGAGCAGACTGGTATCATGAGTGGACCTGGGCAGAACAGACAAGCCCAGTTTGAATTTTACAACCCGGGGGAAAACGCCCACTCCTGCCTGAATCTCTGAAGGTGACGAGGTCACGCTAAGGTGCATTTTGTGTTTCAGAACCTGCCAGGAGGAAGCCCATCATTCTACCACTTGTTGCCACAATGCTGACTGCTCGCCTCTCCAGACCCCTGTCACAGCTCCCAGGGAAAGCCCTGAGTTTCTATGATAGAGAAAATGGAGCAAGGTAAGAAACTGAGGATGGAGGTGACCCTTGAGGGTCACACATAGATGGTGCAGCTGCTGATAAGGCCTGACTCTCAAAGATGTCTCTCAAATCCCCAGCCATCTACCAGCAAAGGAAATTCAAAGGTGTCCACAGAAGGCAGAGACCTTCCCAGTTTCATAGGCCAAATAATATATTTCACAACTGCTTTTTTACAGACGTGTTCTTTGGACACTTTTTATTTGCAAAACTAGTACAAAGGTTTCCTATGTACCTTTCACCCAACTTTCCCAAATGTTAACATCTTGTGAAACCATAGTGCAATGATCAAAACCAGGAAGTTACCACTGATACAACACTGTTAACTAATCTACAGACCTGATTCAGATTTTGCCAGATATCCCACAGTGTCCTTTCTCTGGTCCAGGAGCCAATCCAGGATCCCACATTGTAGTTAGTTGTCCTGTCTCCTTAGTCTCTTCCTGTCAGGGAGAGTCCCTCGATCTCCATCATTCACGACCTTGCCACTCTGGAAGAGTACTGGTCGGTTCCCATAGACTGTCTCTCGGGTGGGTTTTGTGGGATGTTGCCACGGGTGTAGGTTCAGGTTGTGCGCATTTGGCACGGATCCCACAGGAGTGATGTTGTGTCCTTCTCAGTGCATCACATCAGGAGGCATATGATGTTGACGCGTCTCATTACCTTGATCACTTGGATAACGGCTTTTTTTTAAACACATGAAATCCGTTAACTAAGATGCCCTGAGTCTTCACTGTATTGTTTATACATGTGACTTAGAGGAAGCATTACCAAAACCCACTGCTGTCAAGTCAGTTCCAACTAATAGCGGCCCTATAGGACAGAGTAGACCATCCCCCCACCCCACACCCGGCCAGGGTTTTCAAGGAGCAGCTGGTGGATTCGAACTGCTGACCTTTTGGTTAGTAGCCGTAGCTCTTGACCACTGCACCACCAGGGCTTTAGAGGAAGCATGAAATCAGTACAAATTAAACAAGCCACTCTACTTCTTTGGTAGCTTCTGGAATTGCCTTTCCGGGGGAATTCAGTGTGCCTTGTTACCCTATTTTCCTCTTTTGCAGCCAGAGAGCAAGGGAAAAATAAATACCTTTTTCTTATTGTTAGTTGCCATTGAGTGGATTCTAACTCAGGGTGGCCCCATGTGTGCAAAGTAGAACTGTTCCATAGGGTTTTCAAGGCTGTGACCTTTTGGAAGCAGATCACCAGGCCTGTCTTCTGAGGTGCCTCTTGGTGAGTTTGAACCGCCAACCTTTCGGCTAATAGGCCGAAAACCATTTATGTCACCTAGAACTGCATGTGCTCTGTTTACTGAGGGGAGTAAAACTGTCAGGTTAAATGTAAAGTCCCAGCAGCTAGAAAATGGATGATATTTTCTATGCCAGTAAACATGTTTAGAAAAACATGTATGTAGGCTTTTAGCAAAATTAACTTAAAAGCATTTCCACAGGCTAGAGAAGCTTGGTTGGAGATGAGGCTTCAACTACTAGAGGGCGTCATGTGAGAAGAGTTCACATGGCCCTTCCAGCAGAGGAGACAGAAGTCTGGACTCTCTACTTCAAGGCCATTGCCACTGAAGAGGGAACGAAACCTGGCTCTGTTGTAGGGCTTTTGAAAGAAGGAGAATACTGCAATGCTTTTTTTCCAGTGAGTGAGTCATTGAGATGCCAAATTTGCCTCAAAAATGGCTTTTAGAAACAAGTGTTAACTTTGGTTAAGGGAAAGACCCACACACAATATAGGGGAAGTCAGCACAACTTGACCAAGGCAAAGTCATACAAGTTTCCTAGACACATCCAAACACCTTGAGGGACCGAGTTACTGGGCTGAGGGCTGGGGACCATGGTCTTGGGGGACATCTAAGTCAATTGGCATAACATAGTTCATAAAGAAAATGTTCTACATCCTACTTTCGTGAGTAGCATATGGGGTCTTAAAAGCTTGTGAGTGGCCATCTAAGATACATCTATTGATCCCATCCCATCTGGAGCAAAGGAGAATGAAGAAAACCAAAGACACAAGGAAAATATTAGTCGAAAGGACTAATGGACCACATGAACGAGAGCCTCCACCAGCCTAGGTTCAGAAGAACTAGACAGTGCCCAGCTACCACCACCAACCATTCTGACAGGGATCACAATAGAGGGTCCTGGACAGAGCAGGAGAAAAATGTAGAACAAAATTCAAATTCCAAAAAAAAGACCAGACTTATTGGGTCTGACAGACTGGAGGAACCTCCGAGACTATGGCCGTCGGACACCCTGCTAACTCAGAACTGAAGCCACTCCTATAGTTCACCTTTCAGCCAAAGATTAGACAGGCCTATAAAACAATAACACACATAAGGAATGTGCTTTTAGATAGGTACACAAGACAAATGGGCGACACCTACCCAAAAGCAAAGATGAGAAGGCAGGAAGGGACAGGAAAACTGGATCAACGGACACAGGGAACCAGGGGTGGAAAGGGGAAGAGTGTTGACACATTGTGGGCATTGCAACCAAAGTCATAAAACAATTTGTGTATAAATTTTTGAATGAGAAACTAATTTACACTAAACTTTCACCTAAAGTGCATTAAAATTTAAAAAATAAATGGCTTTTAGAGATTTCTGGAGATGATTTTATAGAGGAGAAAATAATCCCCAAACCAAACCTGTTGCTGTGGAGTCAATTCTGACTCATAGCGACCCTCTAGGACAGGGTAGAACTGCCCCATAGGGTTTTGAAGGAGCGGCTGGTGGATTCAAACTCCCGACCTTTTGGTCACAGATGGGCTCTTAACCACTGTACCACCAGGGCTCCTTACAAAGGTTTATCCTCAAATTAAAGAGAAGTGAGGCATTAGGTAAACTTCTGGCTCGTTTGAGGATGAAGAGAAAGGCAGCACAGGGAGATTCTGGGTCTTCTGGGTGGGCTGTAGAGATAGATAACTAGGTTAGGGTGAGTGGGGTAGAGGAAGGGGGGGTAGGGACAGAGCTGAATGTGAAGTTCATTAAGTGTCCTCAGGGTAAAGGTGTCACCAGGGGTCAAGGAGGGAGACTGTGGCATATGAAGGAGGAGGGAAAGGTAGGCAGCCACTGTGCCTGGGGTCAGACAGGTCTCCATGGTGGGGAAAAACTTTAGCCTGATCATTTTGCTTGAATCTCAGTTGGAAGGTTGGACTATGAGGCTGTCAGTTGGAAAGGCTTCATACTCTAGCCCCACCTGGTGGTAAATTCTGTCGATAACATCCTCAACAAGTGGCCTTATAGCTTCCATTTGAATATCTCTAGTCTTTGGAAGTCTCCTGTTTTTGGATAGCTCTATTACAAAGTTCTTCATATCGAGCGGAAATCATTCTTCTATAAATGCTGCCTATTGTTCCTGGGCCAACCCTCGGTATTCATACTGAACAAGTTGATCCTTAATCCTCGTATATCCTCATGTTGACGTATTTGAAGACAAATGGTTATGCGACTCCCAGTACCCACCCACCCCATCTTCTCTTATCCATCTGCAAGTTTTTTCATTGTTTATCTCACATGGTTTTCCCACTTAGCATCCAGGTCTCCATCCTCCCTCCCTCCTATTTGGCCTGTGCTCCTTCTTAAAATGTGGCACCCAGAGCTGAACACCCACCGTTTATATGCCTCAGAGAACGAGTCACCCGGGACACACGCAACTGTCCAAATGCAAACCTCCCCAGGAGTGACCTGATGCTGCCCCCTGCCCCAGCCCCATCATCTGACCACCTGTTTTGCTTCCTGGCTTGGCATGGCCCTCAGATTTTGGATTTCTGATTGTGCCCGAAGGCTCTGGCATCTCCTAGGTGACTTACTAATGTGTTCCCCATCCAGGACACCACCTCCTGGATCCTGATTATACACACTGGCTGGCTCAGCCCCCATGCTCAGCTCTATCTGCCCAGGCCTGACACACATGTAGTAGCCCGGGGGCAGCCTGCGGGCCATGACACACAGTAGCCCAGGGGCAGCCTGCCTGGGCAGAGTGCAGAGGGCTCCTGGCCTCCCTTAGCCTAGGTTTTTTCCTGTCCAGCCTCACACAGCTTCTTTGGGCAGCCACATCCCACTTGTGATTTGTGGTCAATGAGACTGAACTTTCCTCACAGATGTTGCTGTGAGGCCGTATTTCTCCCACACTACACTTGTGGTCTGACACTTGGCCCTCCTAAACCCCGTCTTGTTAGATTCAGCCTATCAGACTGACTCATGATCCCTCTTGGCAGAAGGCTGGGTTTCTAACGATTGTTGCCGATTTGTGATGGCAGAAGTTCAAGACTGGTAAGAAGGGAAGCAGCCAGAATGAATGCCCTGGCAAGCGTGGGGTGGCCTTTCAAAAAGGTGGCCCAGCAAGTTCCTGGAAGCTAGGGCTCTGGACTGGCACGTTTTTCCACAGGCCCTTGGGGAAGTGCCAGACTGCACCTCCTCTACCTGGTCCCGCTTTGTTTCTGGGCTAGGGCGGAAATCAGAAAGCTTGACTCCTCTCAGTCTGGCGGCCACCCCATTGGAATTCCACCCATCAGAATGTTTACCAACTCTCCTGAGCTTAACTTGTACCACCTGTGAGACTGGCATAGATGTTGGCGTAATCAGCTTGCTGCCCCGTCTGGACCCTTCTGGCCAGAGGGGACCTTCCCGGGAAATGCACACTATTTTATATCATGGATCTGGGCTTAAACCGTCAGGGCATGCAGCCCTGGTTGGCGGCGGTAGGGTTACTTCACAGTGAGTGGAGTCCAGGGTTAGTGTGGCTTCAGGGGACCCGGGATTGTTTCTCCTCTGCCATCCTCACAGCATTTCTCACCCACAGGGTCCCATGATGCTCCTGCACCCCCAGCCTCAGTCCAGGCAGGAAGAAGCAAAGCAACATGGAGGAAGGGAAACAGCAGCACTTGTATCCAGAAGCAAAATGTTGCCAGCAATCACTGCAGACTTTTGCTTGCACCTCATTGGTCAGAAGTGGGTCACATGACCACTAGTTAGC